GGGGCATAACTAGAATGTAATTTAAATTTAAATAGCCAACCAAATTCTCATGATATCTTTGTGTGTGTCTCAATAACAAATCAAAGAAGCTGCATGAGTAAGGAGGATGCTGTTATAAAAGCAAAATAAGAGAAAAAACAGAATATATATATATCGAAATTACCGTCAAAATGCCATCCATTTTTGTGGAATTCCGACCCTACCTCTTTTTAGGAACAGTTTGCTTATTTGAATGGCTTATTGAAGCAGGAAAAACAACTACTGCAAGAAGATATTATAAACAGAATGTGCAAATGGTTATTAAAATAAAAATTTATTTGAAGTCACTGAAAAATGATCACAAAATTGCCGTAACTAACATAACATGCCGTGTCCCAGTCCAATGAAAAATTCATCTAATCCTATCTTTACGTATCAAAACTCTTCAATCGTCCAAAGTAGTATGTTGGTTAGTTTGTGTCACGAAGTCCATGCTAATTTCAGTTTTCTTAGGAATTTCACATTTCTTGCTGAACAAGGTTGAATTTTCCTCAAGGTGTCCCATGTAACAATACGCTGAAACTTCAGAGATCAATTTTTATCAGACGACTTTAAAGTGCCGCATGAAAATTATACATCGATAGCGATCTGCTTCCATACCCACTATTTGATGACACCTTGGACACAAATCGCGTCTTTTGCACACTGAAAATTCAACTCAAACTGGCACGTGCCCCATTCTAATAACATGTAATGCAGGGACGCTGTCGAGGTCGGATGCAGGGCACTGGTGTAATTCCCTTGATTTGACCGCCACAGGACTGTTTATAGAGATCTTTGTATGAAGGTGAGCAATAATGAGTTTCATTTCATTTTTCTTCAATTGTTTCAACACAGATCTCTTTATGCGTATTGATTGATTCTTACCATTCGACAGAACTTTTGTTTTCGTCTGTGTTTCATGGTAATGCAATGACACCTTATTCATGTTCTCATAGTAACATGGTGACACCTTATTCATGTTCTCTTGTTCTCAAAAACTCAATTATTGATACTGAATGACATTTTTTAGTTTTGTTTTAAATTAAGATGCTACACTGTATTCAGTGCATTTAAAATTTGACCGTCTGTAAAAAAACAACAATAATGGATTTCTCGCAACACTGATATTACAGAGACCCAATGAAGCACCGAAAATCTTAGGTTTCCCATTGTTCGTTATCAGTAAACAGATTCCTTGTATGATTTTTTTCAGAATCCTAAGAGTGGATGCCTTGGTACAGCACAGAGCAGATATCACCACAGTTGTCAGAAAGAATGTTATAATACTGAACTTTGTGTTACATTGAATTTCATTTTGTTAAAATTTATATTTAACTAAACTTTGTGTTAAAGTAATAAAGAATAATAATAATTCTGAAAAAAAAACTGCACTCTGGAACAATCTTTAGATCAACTTTGTTCAGTAAGTGTGCCATGTAACAGAGTTACAGTAAACAAAATGTGTGCATTATTCCTCTGTGTTTGTCAATTCCAATTTAAAAGCATGTGAGAGTGATGCTCCCCTCATGATTGAAGTGTGTGTGGATAATAGCAAAAATATTGTTATTATTTACATATAAAAAAGTGTTTGTTCCCGCATCACTTACGTTACTGTGTCCCACATATTCATCATTTTATTCATTATGAAATGCAGATTGAATTCTTCAAAACAAGTTATAAATAGCATTGAGACAACACCCCCTTATGATTTAAACTAAAATTTAAAAAACATTCCATTAGACTTTCATTAGTTTGTGCCAAATTTATCTCCCAGTGTAGCATGTCTTGGATTTGGTGGGTATAGCTGTTCAACTCTGTGTGCCTTAACAAGGGCATCTGCTGTTTCCCTTTTTATGAAATGATAAACTGTGATGGTGTAGCTATCACATCGCAAAATTACAGCTTCCCAGAGAAAATTAAAAATTTTTGGCCAAATTCAAATTTTTGTAATCACTAGCAAAGAATGACATACTAGCAAAGAACATCATGACTATTCAAAACCAACTTCTTTGTAAAATTTTCCAATAACTTACTGTAATGTTATATTCTTTAATATCATCTTCACCCACATCAGCGTCCTCTGCTTTGCCTTTGAAAGTAAAAACCACACTGTCCACCATTTGTAGCTGTATAAAAAAAAAGGAAGTTTCAATTAAAATGGAACCTTACACAAATTCCACCTTACAAATAAGAAAATCTAAATGCATCCCATAAGCTGCTAAAATTGCAAAACCCAAATGATTGTCTTTAAAATTTATGTAACATGAGGGCAAAAGCCATCTATAAAGATTTTTGGGTTGATAAGAAAGATGACAAAAAAGTGCTTTGTAATTTCACATCAAGCTCACCTCAGACACATTTGCATAGAAGACTGGTTGTGTAAAACTGGGTGGGTTGTCATTAACATTTCCTATTGTGAACTTCAATAATGCTTCCTGAAATAAATTTACAACTAGAGAGCAAAGTTGGAAAAGAGTCAGACAACAAACAGCAAAAAAAAAAGTTACATAAAAAATAAATAAATAAAATATCTTCAAATGAATAATTTTTGGATAAATATCCTAGGCCTGGTTACACCAACGGGTCATAATGAAGGTGTAGCAGTTATGCTGGAGTTCCTTCATTGCAATAGGGAAATCAAACTAGGTCCAAAAACCATTTACATAAACATTAGTTGCATACAATTTGTCCACACCTACACATGTACAGTAATTATGCCAATTTTTTTTTTTTTTTTTTTTTGGTTCCAGAATTATAGAATAATTTCAGTTTTAGCATCTAATGGCTGCTTTTCACATAAAAATGCACCACAAACAATTTTCCACTTCCTGTGTTATCTCTGAGAGTGCATGGTGAAGATGCTAATGATGATGATGGACATAGGTTAAGGTTATATGTACATAGACAATGTGTCTATATATAATAAACTAGAGGATCAGAGAGGCGATACNGTTTTAGGATTTGGTTCTAAATTAAATATTCAATATATTTAAAAGTACAGGTAAATTATTTCAAAAACTGTCAACCTCACAACACATTTGATAAACCTCTTAAATGCTTGTGTTCCTATTTTCCAAAATATTTATTGATACAATGAAGTGCTATTGTTACAATGAAGTGATACAAATATATCATTTTTTTCTTGCACAGCAAATTAAAAGAAGAAATTATAATTTTTTGTACGTGAAAAAAAAAAAAAAACAGGGAGGGGAAATTATCATGGGTTTGACATTAGCAAAATATAGTAAAGATGGACGGAGAATAAACCACAACCTTGTTTGGCCCTCTCACCTTCTTTGAGAAATGACAGCTGCCTGATCCGTTGCTTCCACTGCTAACACATACTGTGTCTTAAGAGGCAGAGTGGCCAGGCTGCCCTGAACCGAGATCTCACCACTGTCTTTATCTATACTGAATAGACTTCCACCACCAGAGGGCGATTGCATAGAGTATTTTACCTCCCCATTTTTACCATCATCTGGATCAGAGGCGTTAACCTAAATGATGCATAAAACTTAACTTCCGCCCTCTATAAAACTGACTACTTACACAATGATGTTTATAAATTGAGAAATGTTTTAAAAAGTGCCCAAAACTTTGGAAGTACTAAAAAAAAGGTTACAGTTTACACAAATGTATACATCAACTCCTGCCTTGTAAATGCACAAAACTTTCATAAGACAGAACCAATGGTCTGAACATAACACACTGCCTCTACATACTAGTATCAATCGACTGCACTGCCATCTATATTCAAGCCCTTGAACCCTACCTTGCCTACAGTGGTGCTCAGAGTTGCTGTCTCATTGATGTGGAAGGTGTAGCTGATGTTTGTAAAAACAGGGCTGTTGTCATTGACATCAGTCAATGTCACTGTGACTAAAGAGGGACTACTCTGGTACATCTCAGTAGTCTGTGTCTCCTTAGCGTACACCTGGGCAAAACAAGATGGCAAATTTGATCGTACAGTAACTATGATCTTCACTTTGAACTTTTCGCATTTTACACAATACTGAAGCTTAGTACCTAATATAAAGCCTTTGGTCACACCGTGCCCTTCCTCACTGTATGTTATTATCAGCTTGAGCACTATTTACCAAGGGATCAGTAATAGTGATCATTATCAATAGACTACACAGATTAATTTACAGTAACTCGAATGAAAAGGTCAAACAAAACAACAGTTTTATTAAATTAAGTATGAACAGCCCCATAGTCAACAATTAAAAAAAATCAATGTTTGTTTGCTTGTTGTTTTTTTTTTTTTTTTTGAAAAAGTGTTACTTTTTACCCCCTTAGTCGACCCAACTTGAGAAAAGGCATAGAACCACAGTGGACCTTTTAAGATAATAAGAGCAGTTCTTTTGAACCACATACCTGCCCTGTCTCCCCCTCCCACTTATAGCCTGTAATCTGCAATCCATCATTCATCACTTATTGCAAAAATAAGTCCATGGGAACTAGCTTTCTTGTGTACTCCTAACAATATTCAGGGGTCTTTTTTAAAGTTTGATCATAAATTTAAACTTCTAAAATAATATAATTCTTATTCTGAAAAAAAAATCCCCAGCAATGAATTTAACCATAAACTTACCTCCATGGTGAATGTGTCTTCATTTTCTCTGTTCAAGGCACTGCTATTTTTCACATATATCAGTCCAGTGCTGTTATCTATGGCAAAGGCATTCTTTGTGTCATTTAAGACAAACTCAAAGGCTGAGAATGCAGGCTGCAAAACATGAAATATTCACAAAATGAAAAATTTTTACTAAGCTTCGTAATAGGCTTCACACAGGTAGCACAACATTTACAGGTTATCTGCAGTTTGTGCTGAACAAAATTTTGAATTTAAAAAAAACAAAATTGTTTAATGTCAAAAATTGGGGAAACTTAAGAATAATATACGAAGTTTGTACCAAAAAAATTGTGAAAGAAAAATAAGCTTTTAAGAAAAAGTAATGTACATATGATGTCCTTCAAAGAAAATTAATGATAAATACATTGCATCACCATCATTCCTCTTTTAAAAACTGGGATTCTGCATTCAATGAAAAACCATTTGCATTATTTTAACCAAAATCATTTGCATTATTTAAACGAACATTATCACCTTAGATGTCTACCAATAAATTGTCTTAAGCTCTAAACCACACTCCAGCACTCGCTCTACCAACTTACAGACATATCTCCATCTGTGGCTGACACCAGTACCACTGGCGCCCCCTTGGCCGTGTTCTCTGGTACACTGGCAGCATATTCCTTCCTACTCATGACTGGCAGATTGTCATTGGTATCGTTCACTACAACACGAACTGTGGCTTCTGCAGTCTTAGTGGTTGGCTTGTCCACTTGGTATGCCTAAATACAACAGGAAAACAAAGATGTCAAAGCTACATACCAATATGCTTATTCCAACATGTGTGAAAATTTGAACTACGGTACCATAAACAGTGTATAAGCTGTAAGATCCCAACCAAGACTTTGACACACTTCCTACTGTACTTAAAATACTTCCTTATGTAGTTTTATTATAAATTAGTAATCATAAGTTGATTATTATAATATAAATGTTGCTCTGATACATTACACATAAAAACTAACATTATCACGAATGTTATCCAATTGCTGAATAATTGTCAATTTAAAAGTATAAAAAATTTCCCATCCTATCACAAAATAAACACATTTAAACTTTTTTTACAAAATATATTTTTTACTTTTCAAAAAAAAAAAAAAGATATATTCCATGGAGTATGTTCTTCTTCACTACATATACCTTCAACTGTATTGTTACTGCATCTATCTGTTCTCTGTCAAGTTTTTGCACCACCTGGAGTACCCCGGATTCATTGTTCACTTGGAAGTAGCTTTCATACTTTGGCGGATAAACTGAAACAAATATCCCATTTATATGGAGTGCCACTCAAACATTCAGTCATATTTATGAAAAAATACATAAAGCAAGGCAGCTAAACTGTCAAATGTATAAACAAAAAACAGAAAATAATTGTTCACAAAATAGGTTATTTTGTCAATTTTGATGCAATGATACATTATGCTTCAAAGCAAAGTTAACAGCAAACTTTAATAATGCATAGTCAACAGCTAAGTTAAACAAGGATGTTGGGAATATCTAACTAGCAAAAAGCCCATTAGTGTTCAAATTCACACATTAATATATGCCAGAATGAGAAAAATTAAAAATTTCACAAAAAATTTTATAAATTCAAGAAAAAAACACAATCAAGCTGGTTTTTCTAATTAATCATGCACTACAGGTCACAGATATTTAGAAAATGTGACTAGCAAAGGTCTTCAGGCCTATGGAAGTTCAAAGTCACCATGCCAATATATGAAAAATGAATATCTCACAAAAAAAAAAAAAAAAACGATGGTGACAACAAGGACAGACGCAGGTATCGATTATGTGTAGTTATGAATACTGATCGACACATATGTGTCTGTTCAGAAAAACAGTGAGAGGTATTTTGCCAAGAAAATAAAATCATCTTTAACTGATACACTGCTATCACTAAAAGTCTCCCTTTTGTGGACCAAATTATAACAGCCTTGCTGACTCTTTCTCTCTTAATCGAAGTCCAAAAAATTGTCGGTAGATGAAATAAGAGACCTTTGCCTTCGATCTCCCAACAATAAATAAATGCAATGCTGTACAACTAAGTATTTACAAATTTATGTCAGATTTTAAGGATTCACTAAAATCAATTCACAACTAAAAGAAGACCAGGCAAAGTTGCACAATGTTATTAAGCCAGTGAAAAGTTTCAACTGCATGTAATTCACAGAAAACTCAAAACTAAAAACCTCAAACTATTAAAAAAAATTGTCACTTATGATGTTTTATCAAAGAAATCTAAATCTAACTCATCTTTCAAAGCAATTTTTACTACAGCACAATTGAACGTCCTTTGTGGAAGTATTTCAGTGCACTTTGAATCAAACAAGTTAACCAATTAATGAAGGGTCAATGATACTGATATACGTGAAAATTAAAATACCAAAATTTATTTTTATAAAGGTCAATTCATATAATTTGGTAAAAAAAATATGCCATTATAAGCTTCCATTTATATTTTTAGAATAGTGTTTTTTATTCAGTGTTTATATACGATAACCATCATAACATGCATCACACTTTGGAAATCTTTCATCTCCACATACCTGAGGAAATCTCATACATAACAGTTTGGTTGATACCCAGATCAGCATCATAAGCATGGATTGGTGGATGCACAAATAATGAATCAAGAGTTGTCTGGAAAAAGTAAAAACATCCTATTTTAGGCTAAATAAAAATAAACATGAAGTTAATTAAACTACCAAGAGAAGTTCTTAGTTTGATTATGTGACAATGCATCACCAAAATAATACATATGCAAAATATAATAAAATTAAATCTTAAGACAATAACTAGAAGTAAAAGTCTGTATACAAGTTGTACAGTTGTTGGAGATAAGTCTTTTAACTGTCTTTAACATTTTTGTAAGTATCGACACCTTTAAATATTTCTATTTCTGAACATGCTAATCAAATCAATTGAATCAATTTTTCATAGCGTTAGACATATGCCATTTGTTCTGTATTATAATTATCATATTTTGAATGCAAATATCAGTGTAAAGAGTAAACATCTGTAACTCACATTTTCAAGTGCACTTAGTTCATAAAAATCCTTTTCAAAAACTGGGTTCAAGTCGTCTTCATCAATCACATTCACAACAAGTGTGGTGCTTGCTGATAACGTAGGGGTGCCATTATCCTGTAAAATTATAGGAAATTTTAATAGTGTTAAAAAACTATTTGAAAGCTGACAAAAAAAACTTTTAAATCCAGATTAAATCAATTTGTCAATCATAATAAACTACCAAATGTTCTTTAAATGCTTTAATAATTTTTATAACATCGCTAATAAAAAATCACTTAGATTCTATTACAGAGTAAGTTTCTATTAAAAAGGATATGATAAATTGTGAATTATGTACCAATGCCCAAACAATTAGATTAAATGTTCTTATATCATTATCGTAATCTAGTTTCTTTATGAGCACTATATTTCCATCAGCAGCAACTCCTCCTGTTCTGAAATAATCCTTCCAATTCTGAAATCCAAGAAAAAAGAGAACATATAAGATAATGAATAATGATCATTTTGCTGGTATCACACACATCCTACTTTTTATATATTTCCATTAAAACTGGTATTTTAAGACTGCTATTTCAAAAGATTAGGCCACACTTTTTTATTTTATGGATGACATCCTCTGGGAACCCCGAAATCGGTGCGAGAGGGCGAAAAAAAAAAAAAAAAAACAGTCAAAAAAAAAATCTGCTTAAGTAAAGGAATGCTGTCAGTACACAGCTGGAAACACAAATTTACCACAGAAACATGTATCCAACTAACAATATGTCTTTATCCATGCTCTCAGAATATTAAAGCATTATGGACACTTCACAGAAATGTAAAAAAAAAATTAATACTACCAAATCTATTAAAGGTTATTTCAGTCGATGCCATTTTGTCTACTTCGACTCACTCGAAGCAGCCAAACTGTTGGGTGGCCTGTCCGACCTTCAGCCCACCAAATACCTCGACGCCCACCTTACGTATAATTGTAAATAGGTGATATCTTAATACCCAATATCAATGGCATATCAATCCAAAACAATGGCCCCCGTTCTCTTTATGACTTTAATTGTTGTGTAATTGGAAAGTAATCCTAGAGATGAATTTGACAGCAGAGGGGCCATATTTCCATGTGACATAATATGCATGCGCAGAAAGCGCATTTTCCGGCAAATTCAACAATGACGTTTGCAACAACCGACTTCATTGGTGGTGTTTTTTTTTTTTTTTTTTCAGAGAACGGAAGAAAATCGGTGCGCGCGCAGGATGTCATCCATAAAAATAAAAAAGTGTGGCCTTACAATGACATGATAGTACTGTCAAAGAACATCATGGCGATTCAAGACAAACTTTATGTAAAATTTTTCAATAACTTACTGTTATGTTATATTCTTTAATCTCGCCAGTTTTATCAGTGTCATTTGCTTCGCCTTTGAAAGTAAAAACTACATTGTCCACCGTTTGTAGCTGAATAAAAAACAAAATTTCAGTTAAAAGGGAACTTTACCCAAATGCCACCTTATTAATGGGTAAATAAATGCACGGAATCTTAATGCATTTAAATTATAATTTCTTTTCTTATTGCTGCTGAAATTAAAAAAAAAAAGATAACTGTCTTTGTGTATTGTGAATAAACAAGCCATGTATTAAGTTTCATGAGTTGATAAGAAAGATGAGAAGAAAAGCTCACCTCTGACACATTTGCATAATAGACTGGTTGTGTAAACTTGGGTGGGTTTTCATTAACATCTTCAACTGTGATAAATAAAAGCGCGGACTGAAATAAACAAACAAAAATTAAGTAACTGATAAAAGGAGAAGCAACAAACTGTAGAAATAATAAATGTTATGGATTAAATTTCAACAAGAAAACCACCTTGCTGATAATTAAATAATCATGTACACATCCACCTGCCTCCTAAACACAAATTGGTGAATAGTAAATCTTGTTTAGTTTTACACAAGGCAGCAAAGCTGTCAATTATTCAGACAAAAAGCAGAAAACGATGATGAAATTATACATTATGCTTAACAGCAAAGTCAATGCCAAAAATTTTACTTTGAACAGCAAGTAATATGAATGTAAATAAAATGTACAACTAGCATAAGGCTTTGGGCCCATGCAAGTTTAAGTTCACACTTTGAAAATGCCAGAACAAGAAAAAATGAAAACCCAATCAAGCTAGTTTCCAAATAATAAAAAACACAGTTTTCTTTTCATGTTTGTGGTGGCAGTGCACAAAGCACCGGGTAGTTTTTTTGTCATTTTTAATGCAATACTACATAATGATTAATGGCATAATCACCACCTACTTTTTATTATCTACTATACATACGGTAATATGCCAAACAATTCGACCAAGATTAATTATTTAATTTCATGGAAATGTCAGTTTGGTCGAATTGATTAAAATACAGCAATGGAAACCTTTTATATTGTCGGATTGTCGGGCCAAAATGTCCATCTTTCCGGAAGTATTGCACTTACTGTGTGTCAGATCACATTTCGGAGTATCATACCCCAGAACAAATTTTGTAGGACAACCGGGGGCTCATCATTATAGCGATTTTACAACAATCGTTTACTATCCAATCAAGGTGACAGCCAAGCGTGGGCTCATCCTGTCGGTGTATTGACTGATACTCCGAAATGCGACCTGAAACACACCTTGAAAACGGGTAGTGTGGTCCGATATACCGGTTAATTCAGGATCCTTATGTGCAGAGTCTGGTAGTTAGGTAGGCCTGTCGGCTGTTTCACGATCAGGGGTACAAAATAGGGGTCACATTGAGAGAAAAATGAACTCTGATGCATTTGTTTAATTTTGTAACAGATAAAAAGAATAACATCTTAACTATGATATCTACAAATTTTAGAGCAAAAGATTAATTACTTTTTGTGCTACGCTCAAATTAACAGAACGCCCCTTAGACTATGATCTGGGGGTACGGACACTACACATTCATGTAACTGATGCTTTTGTAACTGAAATATCATATTGTTTACCAGTTATTTTTGCCAAAAGTCTAAAAAATGTCAACTAAAGATATAACAGCAGTACTTTAACCAAAAGGATACAAGTACATGTATTAACCAAAGAGTTTTTTAGAGAAACACCACAGCACGTTTTTCAGCAGATGCTGGAGCTTGGTTGTGTGTCATTCAGTGTGACTTTCATTCACCAGACTTTAATTTTAACTTTCCTTTCTGTTGCTTGACCTTTTTTATCTATTCATTTTTTTTTTGTTTCAGTCTTGATTCCTGTTTTTGGAGTCTTTTCTCCTTTTTCATCTCTCGTTAATTTGCACCTCTTGTTCTACTGTATTCAGGATTGTTGGGTTTCTGCTTCTCCTTAACTCTCTGTCAGTATGCCCTAATTTCTTCTCTTTACTTTAGTCTTTCTTGCTGGGCCAGCCTAGGATGATTCTTCTTTTTTCTTCTATGCTATGTTACGTGCATTCAACGTCTTCCTTACGTGCTTCAGCAAGATTATTAGCATCTTTTCAGAAATTAGCTCTTTGACATCTTTTTTTTTTTTTTCAAAATTATTTTTTGCTGAAAGTAAAATATTCAGGACCCCTTTTTCTTTTCCTATTTGGCTTTTTATTTATTGTCATCCATATTTGATACTTCATTAACTGAGAGTATAATAAATGTACTGTTAATTATTCATGTATTGAAGTGTTCGTACCCCCTCAAAATATATCATATACATTAATCCATAGAATATTAATCCATAAACAATTTATTATTTTGCAATTAGCTATATTTGGCAATATATTCAAACCAATATTGTTCATTTTGAATGCAAAGAGTAGCATCTTTACTGATATTATTTCTTTGCCAAATCTCTTGCCTGACTCTAATTAATCAGTATCACTTTATCGAATATATATTTATATATTTATATATATTTATATTTATATATATATTTATTTATACATATATATTTATATACAATGTTTTTTCTAAACATCATAAGACAAGAATGCATTTTATATAGTCTAAAACAATATTTTGCATCATATTTTGAAGTTTAATCTTCATTGATATGTAGCCAGTTATCCAATGGTTAATGTATAACTTGGGGGTACGGACACTACAGTAGGGGTATGGACAATACATTTGGCACCAAATTTTGCATATCTTTTCATAATAAGGGGTAATGTGCTATTTTCTTCCTGCAAAATAAATGTCAGTGTAGACATTATAGAATAATAAAATCAGAATATGCTGTGATTCCTAAATAAAATAGATAGGGGGGCACGGACACTACAAAAAGTAGGAGACACCAAGGTGCTCATGATTATAAATGCCATAGCATTAATAATAATGGTTACATATGCACAACTCCTTTCTTATGTTTAAGTCATAACATGGTAAATTCATCTTATTATCACGTAGGTGATTTCAAAGTAATATTTGGCCTTATCAAATATGTTTTTCATTGCATTAACAAAAATAAGTAAAATGTGTACAAAAGCCTGTTTCAGCAAAATGGTTAAAATAAATTTTTTCTCAGAATATATCTTTGGAAGAACCTGCTAGAAGAGAAGACATATGTTGTGGGAATTATATACCAATATCATATTCACCATAAATCATTGACATAAAGAGCTAGTGCATCATATTTATGACCCAAGTTGCAAATGACCCATCGTAACAGCTAGAAATAGGTACTTTTGGACACATAATTGGCCATATTTTTGTAAATTGTAGTCCGATTATTATAATTCTTTTTTTATTTTGCTCCTATGAACGGTGTCTTTGATATCAGTCTATCAGCAATCTCCAATCATAAATATTAAATTTATCAGACACTTTAATTGTTTAATTGTTCACCCTGATTGTGAAACAGCCGTGTGTTATCATGACTAGCAGTTTTTCGTCTAGGCAAAGGTTGCATAGGTGCTGATTTCTCCTTTGTGGTGCTGACTTTTTAATGACGTCCCATCTAATGTCATACTCAGTGTTACTTTTTTTTAAAGTCATTATTATATTAAGTCATTATGATAGTCTGAACATAGTGAAGGATTGGATTTGAGTTTATTTACATTTTTTACACTTTATTGCACAATACTAGATAATACCATCATTTGTCAATAAATATTTAACAATTCTGTAAAGATGCTTAAAATATCAAAAGAATACTTTTACATATCTAACTAGAGGATCAGAGAGGCGATACTGCCTCCGGCTATAGTACCACCAGCTGGAGCAAGCGCATTCATATGGAACCCTCCCCCCCCAAAAAGAAAGAGACACCACCACCAGTCTTGTGCCTGACAAGCTCTATAAAATGCAATCAACAAGAATTCTCAACATATGCAAAAAAAAAAAAAAAAACAAGGCAGCAAAGCTGTCAAAAGTAAAAAAAAAAAAAAAAAAAAAAAAACAAAAAAAGTAAATTT